CAATCACAAGTCTTCTATAAAATTTTCTACACATTCCACCTGATGGTAAGTGGTTGCCGAGGCCCATAGACATCTACATCTATCGACGATTACGAATCAAAATACAGATGCGTTGTAACCCGTAAGAACTAAGATGGAATGCCTCGTAGTAAAAAGGTTCTGCGGTTCTCTACGCTCACCATACTAAACACAGCAGCGTTAACCACTCAAGCGTCGACATTAACAACCACCAATTTAGTTAGATCTATGGTCAAGCCAAAGAGTATAGTAGTTCAGGCCAAAGATTTTTTTTTAAATGAAGGTAAATATAACTTAGAGTCATTACTACGTTCTTATCCAAAAATAAAAAAATATAAACAAATAAAATATCACGTTATTTGTATGAAGGTCAAGTGGGCGCAAGAGAAACGACGAATACAAGACGTTGTCTATAAATAAATGTTTTGAGAAATTTTTTATTGTGAATACTTTTTGTATTTTTTATGATTGTATTCGCTTGATTAAAGCTTCAAGAAAATAAATAAATTTAAAAGAAAGTATGCAAAAAGGGTTTATTTTTATTTAGAATTTAATACGAAATTCTGGGTAATTATTGAAAAACCTTTAAAATCCGTATATCTCAAGACCTGTTCATTTTCGGCCATACATATAGTGGGTCAAATTTGTAGCATTGTGACTTTTTCTTTGATTGTGTCATGCTCTGCCAGGAAGTTATCGAGTTCCTAGTAACTCTGTATAATATGGTTTTTAAGGGGGAGTAATTAGATTTTTGTGTTTGATTAATAAACATCGTCACGTAAATTTGTACCTATATTTTGTTGAGCTAAAACATACCTTATAATTATCGCTTACCTAATATTTACAAATAATTACATAATCAAATTAATAACTTAAGTACAATAACGCACAGGCGTCAATCTTGGCACATCACTATTCAACCACTCTCAACTATGTATCAGTATCTGTAGAACATCTTGTTACGCTTGGTATAATCGGTATTGAGCGATAGGCGCACTCTATACCATGCTTATTTGTACTCTTAGTTCTGAACACTCTTATCTGTTGTTCTAAGGTGTCCTTTCTTATTATTAAATACTCTTTGGCGGCGTCTATAACTTTGACAAGTAATTCTCCTTAAGGATACGGCCGAAGCTTGAAGGGTTAAACTGATATTTTACGCTGGTATTCTGTGAGAGCGTGTTTCTTCCCCGGTCAAACCGACCCATTCTACAACTATAACAGCAATATAGCTGCAGCATAGCTCTACCACATCAATTCTTTCGCATTGGGGCAACGCCTCACTTCCTTGCCCTTTAACCCTCTTAGAAATGGGAAGAGACCTGTGCCAAGGAGTGGGAAAGTATTGGCTGTATATGCCATGTATTGGCGGTGTAGTGTATCCAACACGTATCTCATCTCTTGGGGGTTGTAATAAGTGACAGAGGGAATTTGAAACAGGAGATGAACAGAAAAATTTTCCTCATAATACCTCAAAATAATATAAAACTGCGGTTGTTAAACCACCTGCCAAGATTGACAATAGTGGCAAATAATTCTTTACATAAGGCAATCTATAGGAGAAGCCTGTGTTCAGCTGTGCTGAAATTTTATAGATTGTAATGAAAAAAAAATTGTAGTAATACTATTCTCGACTAACAAAGAAATATAGACGGGGGACTGCAAAGATTTCAAATGCTGCCGAAACCATGTGGTTTCGGCAGCATTGAGTATTAAGAAGTTGAGTATGTACTCAAGTTCTTAATACTCACTCACGCATATATCTTTCTTCTTTCATTCTTGAACAGCCTGTAAACTTTTACTGCTGGACGCTCAAATATACTAATCAATTTTATTGGTTGTAAACGATTTTGCATTTGTATTTGAGTGCATGTTCTTACAATTAGTGGGGTTTGTTTTGGTTTTCGCGTCACTTGAAATGTGCGTAGCGCTGCGTTTTATGGTGAACACTACAGATATTTTTATTAAAATACTCATAAATTTGTTAAAAAGTATTTTTAATTCTAGTAATCACATTTTTTTAATGAAGGAAGTAACTTAAATAACTTGTCCAAAGGAAAAATACACAAGTTTTATAAAGCTGTGGTAGGAATAAGCTCTTTTATTTAACAACTTCTTCACCGAACTTATGAAAGAGGTTTTCAGAAGACTTCTCTTTACTATTTCAATGTACTCATACATACACGATCTTATATATAGTATAGGGTGACAAACGAGCACACAGTCCACCTTGTGGTAAGTGGATACTGTGGCACATAGACATCTACATCTATCCTCAATTAAGAATCAAAATGCAGATGTGCCACCTCTGAAGACTAAGGTGGAATACCCCGTTTTTAGTAATAAGGTCTCCGGTTCTCTACACTCACCATACTACATAAGAAAGTAATATAAAGAAACAAAGCAGCATAAAGCTACTATTTTATGCTGGTATTCTGTGAGAGCGTGGTCCCGGTCGAGCCGACCCATTCATGCCACAACCATCATAGCTGCAGCGTAGCTCTACCACGTATACTATGTCGTTATATCATTTCTTATTGTCGCAGCACCCCACTAATAAAATATTTTTCATAGAAATAATAATGACATTCAAGCACACAGTCCACCTGATGGTTAGCGGATTCTGTGGCCTATATATATTAAGAACAACAATTAAAACACCTTTGAAAACCAAGATATTATAATGCTTCAATCCTATTAAAATGTTCTATCCTTCTCTACTCTCACCATACGAAAAACATTATTTTGATAAATATATTAGAGAATATACTAAAAATATATTAGAAAAATATATTAAATAGGTGATATTAAATGTTCAAAATTATTTAGGTAGCTTTTTTACTTATTAATTTAAAAGCGCACAGAAAATTTATTGCTGGAAGTATTAAAAAAAGAAGTTTTTAAACGAAATCATATTTAAAAATCTTTGTTTTATTCTAACATTTATAATTGAAACATTGGTAAAGCCATTCTGCAGCTATATATATGGGAAGGACCACACTCTCACGGAATACCAGCGTAAAATAGCAGCTCAATGCTGCTGTATTTCGTATGGTGAGTGTAGAGAACCGGATACCCTTACTGGAAATGAGGCATTCCATCTTAGTCCTCGCGGGTGAAAACGTATCTACATTATAATTCGTAATCGAAGATAGATATAGATGTCTATAGGTCACAGCAACCATTTACCATCAGGTGTACTGTGTGCTCGCTTGTCACCCTTAGATATACTATAAAAAAATGTAATATAATCCGTAGGCAATAAAATCAATGTGACAAGTTACCAGAACCGACTTCTCGATGAAAACTATTTTAAACTACAATTGAAATTATGTACCTTGTCTAAAAATAAAAGCTTTAAATACAATTCAACCTCCTAAGCATTTAAGCAAAGGCATTAAAACCACTAATAATTTCAATTATAGCTTCTTGGATTATTAAACCTAATGTAATATAATCCTTAAAGGTACGTAACTCGGTTGTGTAACGATCATAACCCGCAGTAATAAACAGCGTCACCGCGCCCCGTCGGAACTCAAACCGGAAGCGGAAACAATTCCGACGGCCGTACCCAGCACGTAACTACTCAAGGAACGTGCTAATAAAGTTAAGTATTAAATGTTATATAATATATAATCTACTGATAGATTAGGTAAATTTGTAATAAACTTTAAAGTAGGTAAACAATTACTTATATACAGGTTATATTTTAGTCCTAGGCATTATTCGTAATTTATATAAATTTAAGTTTTTAAAAGAAATAAATCATTATATTGTAATAAAAATATCTGTAATTAAACTACTTATGACCTCCTAAATGAAAATTGTATTGTTCAATATGATTGGTTTTTGTTTTAACATAATCTACCACTTAGAATATGTTGTCTTTTTAGTATTATGTATAAGTTGATATCCTTTCTTATATTGGTACAGCCTACATATTAACCTTTCTCTTATTTTTATTTAATTTTTTTTCTTGGTTGTATGCAAAAGATTGCTATGCAATAAAACCGTCTTTTGTTTTTTCCTCAATATTTGTATACTTATTAATCTTACACCACCATAAAAAATATTGAAGAATAATGGAAAATATTGTTTTTACTAGTTTTTGTATTTGCCATAGAGCCTTAGTTAACTTTGGCAAATAACTCGTTTTTAAAAGCAATTTAATGGAGGCCTATTTTCAGCGGTGGAAAAAAAATTATAATGAAGTAATGACCGGTTGTTCTAACATTTTCTACTATGTAAACATTTGATTCGTGTGGGTTATAATACTATAATGTTATTATATGATATTTATTGAGCTAATCCAACTAATATTACACTCACTTATATTGAGGGTTTCTTCTTTATTAAAGGTTCTTTCTCTAGTTCGCTGCTGGGCATGTACTCTCTTATAATAGGCGTAATTTAAAAAGAAGCTGAAGTGGTTTCTAATTATTATTTTCATGCAATGGGTAACAACATCTATTTGATAATATTAACTAGTTACATTTTTGCAATTAGTTATGCTTTAGGTATATAATGTTATATTAAATTGCCAGAAAACACCAAAATTTGTGAAGAAATGACCGAATATCTCTTTCTTCCTTTCTCTCACGATTAGTTATATATATTTAGTCTGTTAATCAATAGCGGTTATTATTACATATGATATATATTTGCGATATCATTAATGTCATCTTCATATCCTAATTTAAGATATAATATTTATCTTTAAAAAGCCCATTTTTATGTTTTTCTTTTAAACTATATTAATACTAGATTTTACCCGAAATCAATAATTCAATGAATGTTATCTTAAATTCAATTTATATTTTTTTTTATGCATTAAAATTCTTAAATAATTAATTAACACCAAATTACCTAACACTGCGTTTGATCATATAATACGAAAAAAAAACCAACACTTGCAAACATAATGCGTTGATGTCTTTTACACAGTCGCTAATATTTAATACTGATTTCTCGAAAGTACTCACTCGACTGTAGCCGATCCCTCCACGCCATGGGATTTGACACCAATCCTTGAAACCCTGGCCAGTAAAGAGGCTTGTGCTGCAAGTAATGCGCCATGCCTGCCGCCGCCGCCGCTAGAGATAGCCTCGGTGTCAACAACCCAGCACCAACATTTGTCCCAACCGTTGGCCTCGATAGTATATGGTCAATCCCGTGAGGATTGGGTGCTGGTGGAGGCGCCTCTGCTAAAGAGCTCAACGCAGCCAAAGGCGCTCCAAAGCCACCTTCAAGAGCACCTCGCGACAGAGGAGAGGAACCACGCAGTTCGGACATGCTTAAAATAATGTTCACTTCTAACACTTAACAGTCTCAATACTCAATGCATGTTGTCTTTAAAACACGTTATCACACAATCATCGCGAGAATCTACCCCGGGAACGATATAGGAGCACCGCTCGGGTGGCCGCTCCAATACCAAATGAAAAGCTCACAAACCGGACGCAAACAGAAAAAAAGAACCTGTATAGAGACCGCCCAGTCAATCTAAACCTTATATCCGAGACGCCGCCCCTCGGCTGGAGAGCGCTTTTAAACTCTACCCGTCCCTCTCACACGCATACGTATACGAGAGAGAAGGTAGAGCCGTCGTGTTAACACGATAGCGTAGATTTAACGAATCGGTATTTAATAGCGCTTCTTGTCTCTTTATAATTAAGTCTGGTGCAGTTTTTGCGAACCCTCCCCCCTCCCTCCTCTCGGCCCCGCGCCGCCTGCACTCCGCGACCTATTGTGTCCGGAATAATAGGTCGCATCATGAATAGGACAGTTTATACTGTGTATCCGGAATCCCGATCGTTTGTCGTTAGATAATTTATGTGACAAATATTGTATTAATTGAGAGCACTCGATCCGGACGGAAATAAAACACCCATGGCATTACTGCGCCGTCTACATCTGCTGGGGTTGTGTAGGTCTCAAACAATTAGTTTTAATGGTTTTTAACGCATTTACAGTCAATAAAGTGTACAAATACTTTAACGTTTCCAAAAAATTTACTCTTATTACTCTAAATAAAAGTACTTAATATATAGTAAAATAATTCTTATGAAAACACCCATAGATAGTATTACCATTTACATTATTTTTTTTCAAAAATCCACTGCTGAACTTAGGCCACAGTCATAGATTTCTTGATATGAGGATACTTTCCAAAGTTGCCACGTTTGGCAGGCGGGTTGTCAACCACAGTTTAACAATAATAATATTCCTTCTTAATACCTTCGTAATATATTTAAACAGCCTAACATGAAAAAGGAAAGATAGCTACGTAACATACTTTCTGGTATAAATTTGTAACTTCATGAAATTTGTATCAAGTTTAAAAACTTTTTCCAATACCATAATACAAAACGAGTATAAAGGTTAATTAAACAAAGGTTTAACTAAAGGTTAATTTTACAATAAATAATTCAAAACATCAATTTTATTTCCTTTTTTCTGTAGGGGGTTCCTTTTCACTTTGCTATGTACGACTATAATCCGCTTCCATATCGTAATTATTAAACCAATTATTACTGAATAAGCCATTTTTTAATCTATCCAATTAAAAATTATGACCACATCCGGTTCGATATCATGCACACATCAAAAGACTATTTTTAAAAAGCTCGCTCACAGACAAATTATGCCGCAACACTGGAGTCAATTTTATAAGCCCTTTTTAATCCCTAATGGCGGACATTAACTGAAATTAAAAACCTTTTCCCCTAATAAATATGGCGGTACCATAAATAAATATAACAATAAACGGTTTGGGATGAAAAAATGTGTGTGATAAAAAAACAACCATTTCATGACGCGAAGCTTTGATAATGTATAGATGGAGTCTAATGATATACATATTGCATTCAAGTCTATTGTCAGTCTTATCTATATTAAATTTCATGGATTTTATTTTTATTGCCCGTACAAAAAATATTTAAATTATTTAGAAAATATTTTTATGTATATTGTAATTCTAAAAGAGGGCGCAAAGAATGATGTTCTGATGCATACAATTCGGTTGAATTAAGGATACGTATAGATGTCTATGGGCTTTCTCAGACTAACAAAGAAAAATAAACTGCGCACTAATTAGGTTCAGCCATAAGGGAGAACAAAAAAAAACAAATCTCTTTAACTTAATTTATTAATAAAAAATATTAATTATAATGTGTGAGAACTGTATGATGTTTCTTACAACCGTTACCGTTACAGCTTATTAAAGACCAGTGCTGAACATAGGCCACCCCCATAGAGAAGTTGTTCCTCAGTTTTGTCACGCTTGGCGTGGTAGGGCCGCGCTGCAGCTATGTTATGCTTGTAGCAGAATACCAGCGTAAAATAGAAGTTTAACGCTACCATGTTTAGTATGGTGATTGTAGAAAAGTGAAGACCCTTTTTGCTGTAAACTAGGTATTTGACACAATCCACATCCGCATTTTGATTTTTAATTGAGAATAAATGTAGATGTCTATGGGCCACAGCACCCACTCACAATCAGGTGGACTGTTTGCTCGTTTATCACCCTACTTTTGTAAAAAAGATAAGCGGCGCTGCAATCGTAGTTTTTTAGTTGTTATTAGAAAGACTTTGCTGCCCATCGCCTGATTTGTTTTCCTATGTCGCTTCACACCAACGGGATGATATGGGGTAGTGGATATTCTTACAATACGAATACACGGTATACACACGGTTTGTTACAAAATTGACTTAAAATTAGGTTGATTGAGATGCGGAAAACAATGCAACGATGTCGCAACGCGTCATCTCGTGTGGTCCGTGGGAACTCGGAAGCATCGCGGTTGCTCGATGAAGTATTGGTGACTTACTATATTACCTACCTATGGTTGTAGCACGAATGGGTGGCCGACCGGGGAAGGACCACGCTCTCACAGAATACTATCGTTAAATGGCAGCTTACGAGTGCCAAAGAGTGGAGAACCGGAAATGTTTTCTACTGGAAACGAGGCATTCCGTCTTAGTCTCAAGGGTAACAAGTAACAACGCATCTGCATTTTGATTCTTAATCGAAGACAGAAATGTAGATATATTTGTGCCGCAGCAACCACTTACTATCAAGACTGTGTGCTAGCTTGTTGATACTATAAAAAAACCTCAAACGATGTTCCTGTACTTAGCACACTGCATACATTTCAAGTGATGCTGAAACTATGCTCAACTTTTCGACACGCAATCACGCACACATCTGTCTTCTTTCTTTCTTTATCAGTCATAAAAGTTCACACATATGCATCTAAAAAAAACTCGACTGCCTCGTTGGTGTTTACTAACACTAGGTTTGTAAACACGGTTGAAGGTTTGAATCCGGGTCTTGCCAAAGACAGTTTTTGGGTTATTGTGTCAAGAAATGGATCTAAAATAACTTGACTGTCTCGATGATCTAGTGGTTGTAATCGCGAATGCTAATCATGAGGTCCCAGCTTCGAATAAAAAACACCGTTACACCTTAGTGCCTCTAAAAGCACGTAAAGCCGTTGTTACTGCGCCTGATCTCTCTCCGGTTATGTCAAATTACCGTCCCATTGGACTATGAAAGTGTGAATAAAGAGTGTACCTGTACCTGTGCATACACTGGGCACTATAATTCGGTCCTGCGCAGATGGCTACTCTCCTTTGAGACTTGGCGCCGTGACCGAAATTTGGTCTGGAGGACCAAATTTCGGTCGGTGTATAAATACAAGCGTTTGTAAGTGCATGTTCTTACTTTGTGTGATTTAGCTTGATTTCTGCGTCTCTTTTTAATGTACGCAGCGCTCTGTCTTTCTCTATTTGTTAATTCAGAGTACTATAAAAATTTGATCATTGTCAACCAATTGCGTGAACACTAGTCAAATTATAACTATAATATATTATTTTTGTGCAACTGTTTGATTTATTTCATTTATTTTTAATTTTCTACCACCCATATTTCGGCCCGTGGGTTTCGTAGAAAATGACTATAGAAAACGCTAGCTATATTTTAACCGTATGATCATGGCTCTATAATATTGCTAACTAGCTGTTCCCCACTACTTCTCCCGCGTGTTATTTGGGGTTTTAATTTTTTTGTGCGGAACCCTAATTCCTTTTCTAAAATAAAAGTGGCCTAAGTTACTCCTTGTGACATCAGCTATATGCCAGTCATCCCGTCAAAATCGGTCTAACTGTTTCGGAGATTAGCCGGAACAAACAGACAGACAGACAGACAAAAACTTTGAAAATTGTAATTTTGTTATTAGTGCCGTATATACTTTCATATGTATTTAGTAAAAAGCTGTAATTTTGACATTACAAACAGACACTTCAATTTTATTTATTTGTATAGATTATGGAAATATTTACACAAGCCAATGACTGATTTTTCTATACGATTTTTCTTGGCATTTACATGTACAGCAATCTCCAAATATTACTAATATGGATATTAATATAATGGAGCGTATTATGATCGCTGAGTGAAGGACTAGACTAGACTAGACTAGAGGTCTCTTGTTATCTTGTTGTGAAAGACTACATTTCCGAGCATACGTTGAATGGCGGAATTACTCAGATGTCAGTTTTCTCCATAACTCTCCTACTGACTCATGTCAATGATATACTTACATATAAAACATTGCTCTACAAAAGAAGTTAAAACAAAAACTGTTTCCTGGCTCGCTTCCTTAAATTAATACTCGACAGAAAATATTCTCACACCTAGCATAAGGGCAACTATCATTATATTAAGAAATGCAACGTTTTAATGTTTATTTATTTGTACTCTACTTTAAATTTTTTTTTAATTAGGTAAACACCTTGCTCGTTGTACTTCTGTTTTCCGAGGCTAACTAATAGCATATGCACTTTTAAATATTTTAGTTAAGTTGCAGGCTGATTCCAGAATAGCATATTTACAGTGGATACCTACGCACGTTGGCTTAGAGGGTAATGAAAAAGCTGATATCTTAGCCAAGCAAGCTATGGCAAGCTAATGGCTTGACATTGATATTACCCCTTCATTTCAAAATTACATAGCTTTATTGAAAAAATATTGTTATGATCTTTGGAAAGAATATGTTGACGAAAGATCAAAAGAGAAGGGTACCACCCAATGCGATCAACCTGGATAGATAACAGACTATTGTGTAGACGCGACACTGTAACAGCATTAAGACTCAGATCTGGACACATTCCATGCAATAAATTTTGATACTTGATGCGAAAAATTACCTCACAAAATTCTTCATCTTGTAATATTATCACATTTTGATAGAATTTTTTTTTATAGGATAAGGGTGACAAACGAGCACACA